TAATAATGAAGATAATATTAGTGAAAATAAAACTAATATTAGTCAAGAAAATAAAGAAAATGATATAGAAACAGATGAAAAAACAAATATTAGATCTAGTGTTCATCAATATTTTACTTTAAATAAAAAAATTAAAAAATATAAATGTAATTATTGCAGGTAAATAATTAATTTTATTTTTAAAATTTTATAAAATATATTTAATTTTTATTAAAATATTTAATAATAATAATTTAGTCAAAAATATAAAATACCAGAAGATAAATCAACATCTACTTTAAAAAGACATCTTGAAAAAAAATATAAAAATATAATCACAACTGAAAAAATTATAGGAGCAATAGATAAATTTGTTAAAAAAGAAGAATTGGTAAATATTTTTAATATTAAATTTTAAAAATTTATAATTATAAATTTATTAAAAGAAATTAAATTATTATTAAATAGCTATTTACACAGAAAATTGGTATAATAATTTAATTAATTGGATTATTTCTGATGATTAATCTTTTATTGTTGTAGAAAATAATTTTTTTCAAATTATGATTAAAAGACTTAATAATATAGTAAAAATTCCTTTAGCAGATACTATTTCTAACAAAATTATTAAACTTTATAATGATGAACAAGTTAATTTACAAAAAAAATTACAAGAAATACCAGGCAAAATTTCATATACTCCTGATACTTGGACTTCTAAAAACCAAAAATCTTTTATTGGAATAACAGCATATTAGATTTTAGAAGATTAGAAATTTCAACAATATACTATTAAATTTTGTCATTTTGAAGGTTCTCATTCAAGCAAAAATTTAGCTGAAGTTTTTTTTAAAACATTAAAAAATAATAATCTTTTAACAAAAATAACTTATTTTTATTATTTTTATAAATAAAATTAATTAATAACTAATTATTTTTTTATTTTAGATATCAAGTATTACTACTGATAATGCCTCTAATATAAATTCTATGTTTATTAATTTAGAAGAAAAATTTATTAATAAAAATTTAGATTTTAGTTCTACAAATCAACATGTATATTGTCTTGCTTATATAATTAATTTGGCTGTACAAGAAATTCTTAAATCATTATATAATAATAATTTTGATAAAAATAAAGAATTTGAAAAAAGTGATGATAATGAAGAAATTAATAATTTAGAAGCTCTTAGAAAGTATAATTTTATTTTAATTATTTTTAAATATATAATTAATAAAATTTTATTAATTCTATTAAATTTTATTTTAGTTAAAAAAATTAGTTGTTAATATTCATAAATCTCTACAAAAACGTAAATGTTTTAATCGACAATATTATATTTTACAAATTAAAAAATTAGAATTAATTGATGATGTAAAAACAAGATAGAACTCAACATATAATATGATTGAAAGAGCATTAAGTTTGCAACAGGTAATTTAATTTTATTATTTTATTTAAATTATTTATTAAATATTAATTTGTTTTATTAGGCATTAGATGATTTGGTATTAATTGATAAAAGTCTTATAAAATATTCAATAACAAATACTGAATAGAATAAACTTGAACAAATAAAAAATTTATTAAAGGTATATATATAATATAATTATAAATTTAAATAAATAAAAATTTAAAATTTTTTTAATTTAATATTATATTATTTTATAATTTATTATTATTAAAATTTAAAAATTTTAATTAATTATTTTAATTAATTTTTAGTGATTTAAGGATGCTACTCTTGAAATAAGTGCTTCATTTTATCAAACACTTAGTTATACTATTTCTATTTATAATTATTTATTAGATTTAATTGAAAAATTTCTTAAAAAAGAATCTTATTCTAATAAAATTATTAATGCTATTAACAAAGCCAAACTTAAATTACAAAAATATTATCCAACAACTAATGGACTTGTTTATATAATTTCTACTAGTATGCAATTTTTGATTTTATTTTTTAATTAATTAAAACTAATTAATTAATTATTTATTTATTTATTTTTTTATGGTTTATAAAACGACTTTATTGGTCAGG